CTGGTCTAGAGGCTGGGATACAGCTGATCATCCTATCATTATGTAGGAGGAGTTATGGGATGGGTCAAAGGTTCCTTTGTTTTTCTTTGTTAAGAACTTGCCTTGCTTTCAACAGAACAACAAGAAGATGTGATCCTATGGTTTCTATCATCTGCAAGATGGATTGTATATAGTTCTTTTCTGTTTTTACTATGCAACAATAAAGCTTTACTTTGGATCTACAAATGTGTCTTCATGAAAACAGCATTTTCAGGATGGCTGGTGAAAGGAAGCAGTCTTCTAAATTCTGCTACATTTACATCACACAAATCAACAACTGTATATACTTGACTGTAAGCTGAACTCATGTATAAGTCAAGGGCAGATTTTGGGTCCAAAATTATGGATTTTGATATGAGGGTAATAAGTTGAAGGCAGATGTTAGGGGTATGTAACAAAGGATCTAAAGCCCTGGTGGCAAACCTATGGCATGCGTGACACAGGAGGCATGTGGAACCCTCTCTGATGGCTTGTGCACTGTCACCCCTCTCTTGCTTGCTCGCTCCCTTAGTCCTCTGCTCACCAGGAGCCTGGTCTAGGGGTACATCTTGCTCAGGTCATGAATGAGTGTTTTTGGCTCAGGGTGACTAGACTTAGTCCTCTCTTTCCTGGACCTATCTTCCCTGTCAGCCTCCCCTCCAGGAGGCTGTCCAAAAGGTCCTCCATTTTAAGCAGGGCTGAGAAGGATGGATTTAATATTTATATGTGTAGCATTTTGTTTTGTTTTTGTTTTGAGCTTTTATTTGGTTGTGTCCTCCATTTTTTCCTTCTGTGTTTTTTTTTTTTTTTTGCCAGAAGTCCCCCCCCCCCACCGGCACCCGGTAACACTAGGTGTGGGAACACCTCTGAGTTTGGGCACTCAGTCTCTAAAAGGTTCGCCATCACTGATCTGATGAAGCTAAAGAAAATGATGACAAAGAACTTACAAAATTCCAACAGGCATAAATGTTTGTGCTCACAATAATAGTCGGATGGAAGAGAGAGTAGAGGAAGGTCAGTGCTTCCAAGACAGATTACACTCTTGCCTTTCACCAGGGGATGGTTCCTTTTAAAATAAGAGTTAAATTACAATCCTTACTTTGTAAGTCTGCTCTTTTTTGGGTCAATTTTTGACTAAAATTTCTAGAATTATACATGGGTATATATAGTATTTAAGTCTTGCTATTTTATTAGTGGGGGGTGGGAAGTGCTTGTGAGATTTTCTGCTTCTGGTTGAACAATGACATAGCTGCCTTTTGGTAGGATATGCATAACTTGGATTTGAAGGATGGTGCCATTCTGTCTCAAGCAACAAAACATCTTGGACCAGTATTCTCCCTCTTGTTCAGACAAATATTATCAAGAAGCAGAGTCATCCCTAATATTACGCAGTATAATTTGTCTCTGAAAAGTTCTTGCACCTTTGCCGCCTCCATGACAGATGGAACACCCAGCATGTAGGTGTGCTGTATAGAACACAGATATTCTTTGGGATCTAGTGAAACAGACTCACATGGAGTAGTTTGCAGCCCTGTGAAGTACATTAGTTTATCCAAGCACATAGCACAAAATATTAGCAAGCAAAGTACACAGATATAAACTCAATTTCTCACCCACTGGACCATCCTATGTACCTGGGGATGCTTCCAGACACAGATTTATTGGCTAATAATTCATGGAGTTTTATAGATGGTATAGAAATCAAAATTGTCATCTTCCACTTGTAACCCTCCCATGCTTTCCCACCATTTCTTAATTCCACAGAAATTGTGTTTAAAAATATGGAGTAGTTGCACAATTTCTGTTTTGTTCGGGTTCTTGGTTTCCAAAAATGGCCTGAGGAAATTGCACTACTATTTGGCCTTAAAAAAACCAACAAAAACAAACTTAAACCAGACCTTCTGCAGTTAGAAAAAAGAAGGAAGCAGCTTAGAAAACACACAGAGAGACATACACATAGAGGCTGACTGAATGACTGTCATATGAACACCCTATAAAAATTGAATGAAAAAAGCATAGCAGTTCCACACTGAATAGTACGAAAGGAGCAGTAGAAGTGAACTCCAAGCATGTTTTGTGAAAGTCTCTGAGAGACACACTGAAATGTGCCTACAGTTGTGAGCGGAAGGTCAGGCCGCTGCCTTTAAGTTCCTGGGCACAGATGCCATCCAGCCGTTCACTTTGAGCCACAGTAAAGTGTTCCTTCCAGTCTCCTACAATGCCTTTAGGTATCAAAACAATCCAGAAATAAATTGTCAGCAATCTTGTTCTCCTTTGTTTCTTGCTAGTATAATCCACCAGAACCCAGTCTTTTAATTTCTTAGGAACACTTCCCCATATTTATTTCTTAAGGAAACCCTGTATGTCTTGTCAGAGAACCCAAGTTACTTTCCAAA